TACAACCATTTTTCTCGTCACAATTATAATTTATCTGCATATTGAATATAAAAATAAATAAACTGAAGATTTTAAATAAAGAAAAATGTCAGAAAACAAAATGTGACCGACAGCGAAAGCTACGGATGAGATTAAGTCACGTAGACTAATAAAGAACGTGGCGTTATTAAGGACCCACGTGTTAAAACTATACAATTGGAGGTTGGCATGGCAGGCTCCTTTTAAGGATTTTCCATTTTTTATTCTTTTTATGATAAATATATATGTATATAAAAGTGTTAAGATCAATTTATGAAATGACCATCCAGCTCAGTTGGTAGAGTACAAGACTCTTATTTTGAGGTCGTGTGATCGAGTTTCATGGAGGACATTTCATAATTCGGAGGTCTCTACGGAAGCTGCTCTCAACCTGGCGTTGGGGGCAGCCTACTATCCTACTTCCCCCTTACCCCATTACATATGGGAATAAGAGTCAGCTAATTTTGTTAAGATCAATTTATATTGTATAAAAAAAATTAGTTTTACGCATTTTTTGGATCATTTAATTGAGAAAAAGATTGAGATTAATTTATAAAATTAATTTCTCTAATTTATTTATCTTAAAAAATATAAAATTAAAAGAATTTTATACATTATAATTTAATATTATCCCTATATATACATATACACTGTATACTGAAAATTTTATTTTGCAGAGAAATTTCAGAAAATGTTGTATAAATAAACTTATAATGTTCTTATCAATGATTATAAGATTGTAAATTATTTATGAGTTTAAAAATTTTATATCTCATCATATTTTTATGTTTCCATGGAACATATATAATCAGTATAAAATATTTTTTTTAAAATTTTAATCATAATTTAAGTTCTTATAATTTATATATTATATATAAAAAATTAGATATTACTTAAATATATATTTTTAACTTACAACATCAAGTCTGAAATAATCATTTAATTTATCTTTTCAAAAAATACATATTTAGAACTCATTGAATGATCTAATATACAAAGAGATTGTTATTCTCTCTTGAGGTATTAAGTTCAAGCATATGCGTCTGTTGGGTGTATTAACGTCGTTTATTGTTAAAATATTATAAATAGATGCTACATTCTAATCACCACAGATCATTTAAAAAACACACATTTACGACAATATTAAACACTCAAATCTTAAACTAACATTTTTAAAAAACATGTTTTAAACCCATTTTTCAAAAAAAAATTATAACACTTTTTAAAGTCAATGCTAAACTAATTCTTGGACTCGATAGTCAACCATCCTTTGTTTCTCTCTTTCTTTTCATACATTGTTTTGGAATGACCCAAAGAAAAAGTACAATCCATTTGAAGCATGAATGTAGCAAATAAATGGTGTATTCATTTTACTACACATTACACATGCTATGCTATTTCACGTCACTTTTTCTCCTTTTGGTATCTTTGAATGTTTAGGCACGTTTTGGTCAAAGATTACATTACTCCTTATATATATAATTTGTTGAGATTAGATAAAAATGTATTAATACGATAAAATTTCAGGGTAGACACCATAGAATTTTAAGGTGGGGTACACATGTATTAATAAAGAAAACTTTGAGTTTTAAAGAAGAAAATTCGAATTCTAATAAATTTTAGAATAGACACGTATCCACCCTAACATCGATGTACGTCCGCCAATATATATATGTATATATTATTTTCAATGTTATTTTTAAGTTTGTGATTAATTTAGTTTAATTTAATTAATTTCAAAATAATTAAATCTTAAACTACAATTGAAATAAATAAATAAATTATAGGTACCGGGGCCCTTGTACTAACGACATATTTTCTTCCTTGCATACTCATGTACCTAACAAATACAGCTTTTATCATAATAAATATATGTTAGGTACCAATGTCATGAGCTTGAAAAATAAAATTAATTTATTAATTAGGTGGGCAGGGCCGATATTGTATTCTTTTAATAGTATGGGATGTGGATAAATATAAGGTAGTATTTGTTTATAATTTTTTTTAGACATTAATAATGCATACATATTCCATAGACACAACTGTTATAATCTGATTTTTTTTAATAAAAATAACATTTTTTAACTACCGAAGTCCTTTGTATGCAGAAAATTCCGTTGGGGAACTCGCTTATTAAAGTCGAGTGTGTGAAACGGATCAATCTAGATTACTCCGAGCAAAACTCTAATAATTGAAAAGGTAATAAAAATCTATTATTTTGAGAAACTTCTTGAGGGACAAACCTTGGTCGATTAGAAGCTCACTATCATTAGCGTTGCCTCATAATTCGGAGGTTCTTAACCTTGAGGTCGTGGGATCGAATCCCACGGAGGGCATTTTCATAATTCGGAGGTCTCTTACGAAGCTGCTCTCAACCTGGTGTTGGGGGTAGCCTACTATCTTACCTCCCCTTACCCCATATATATGGGAAAAAAGGGACAGCGTTGCCTAATTTGTCAATAACAAGGTTCAATATTATTCAAGACATGCACCAATAATAGAGCTATGCCAAAATTGATCGTTGAAGTAGTTGATTAAACATTGGCCTAAAAAGTACAACTCGTACTTGATAAACGAATTAGAATTGTGCATGAAACATCAATATGTCATGTCCCAACCGTATCCATGCACTACAGTAGAACAAGTTTTTTTACACCGTTTTTCAATTATATAACGGCGTTTTTAAGCTAACTTACGTATAAAATTAAAAAAAAATTATCATTACATCAAGTGCTTAGATCAGTTGATTAAAGTTGTTTCAATTTAATTAAACGTTTTAAGTTTACACTAATAGTTTGGGATGAAATTAAAACATAAAAAAATTTGAAGATTAATTTAGAATGAAGATCATAGTTCAGGGATTAAATTATAACTTTTAAAAGTTTTAAGAATAATTTTGAATGATAATCACAGTTTAAAGATGAAATTAAAATATTTGAAGATTCAAGAATTAATTTATAATGAGGATCATAATTGAGAATGTGTGATGTGATTATTTTTTTTCTAATGAAAGTATTTACGATATAAAGAACGAAACTCGTTGAATGATTAAAAGGAAATGTTATTTTCCTTAGATAATCCGAACTCGAGCAATACGTCGGTAAAGTAAGTGTTGTCAACCATAAACATAGTTACTCATTAAACTTATTGAACTATTACAAAATATTCATTAATAATTTTAAAATAATTATAAAGTGCTCAACAAAAACCATCAAAATATAACAAAATGATAATTAAACTTATTATAAAATGAATTTTTAACTTATCAAAATTTATAATTATATATAATCACATTAAATATTTTATAATAATTCAAAAAATTTATAATCATTTTATAATATTTAAAAATTAATAATATATCATTTTAACATCATTCAATAACCTCTAATATCATTTCCCCTACGTCAAAAAATAGCAATCACATTGCAGTTAGACTCATTGGTGTTGACTACACTGTTTGTGTGTGTGAAAACTCCTTATGTACGACCTCTGCATGTTAGGAAGTAAAAATAAGGTGGTGTTTGTTTTTGTAGAGGTAAAAGGTCTGTAGTCTGCGGACCACATCTGCAGGCATCTGCAGCAGAAGAGGTAGACCAAAAGTCTGCAGTCTGCAAGAAGAAAACTGTTTGTTTTTTAACGTCTGCAGACTGCTAAAATGAACTAAAATATAAATAAACTTATTTTTTAAACTTAAAAGAGTTTTGCAATAATGAGATTTAAATAATTTTAGTTTTATAATACTGAAATTTAAATAATCCATACAATTACAATAATAAATTTTTTAAAATAAATCAATTCAGATTTTAAAATAAATCAATTCATACTAATAAATTATTTAAAATAAATCAATCCATACAACTACAATAATAAATCAATCTATATTTTAAAATAAATCAATCATACTAATAAATTATTTAAAATAAATCAATCCATATTTTAAAATAAATCAATACATACTAATAAATTATTTAAAATAAATCAATCTATATTTTAAAATTAATCAATCCATACTAATAAATTATTTAAAATAAATCAATCCATACAACTACAATAATAAATCAATCCATATTTTAAAATAAATCAATCCATACTAATAAATTATTTAAAATAAATTATTTAAAATAAATCAATCCATATTTTATAATAAATTATTTTAAAATTTATTTTAAATAAATTATTTTATAATAAATTATTTTAAAATAAATAACCTTATTAAATTATTTAAAATTATTTTAATAAATAACTATATTTTATAATTGTTCTTGAAGATGTTTGAAGACCTTTGAAGACATAAAATCAAGTCTGCACCAAGAAGAGCTCGCGCAGACGTTTGAAGAGCTTCTGTCTTCTAAAAAATAAACAGTCTGCGAAGTCTAATGTCTGCACGTGTTCTGCGCGACGCATACATAAGTGGTTTGAAGAGCTTGCACAGTTAAAACAAACACCACCTAAATGTCAAAGGAGAATGTATCTTATCTATGGAGTATTGCTATTATTTTTCAATAAAATATTTTGTATTTTTAATATACAAATGGTCATCCGACTATATAATGTTGCTATATTACGTCCTCAAACTATACAAAATGATTTTTCGACTATTAGAAGTTACAAAATGGTCACTTAATTATTCATTATATTCTAAATTCGTCATTTTTCTTTACAAATTTAACGTCATTGTGAGCTAAATGTTAATTTGATGCCTGAGATTTGATAAAATCTGATTCCACAATTTCAAATGACTATTATATATAAGATAACATATTAACATATAGCTCAGACTATCGTTAATTTTTTAATGAAAAAGAACGAGTTTAGAACATAATGAATAGTCAAATGATCATTTTTTAACTTTTAATAGTCGGACACCTTTGTTTACCCATAAAATATTTGTTTCTTATCTCCTTTTTGAAAATTCCCCACTTCCTATATTCCTATAAATAGCCCAGCAAGCCCCAAAGCCATTTTTTTCATGTACCCCCTCCCTCTCATCAAACTCAAAAGAAAATCTCATCACAAATTTTTTCAATAATTTCCATTTTGTTTCTTAATTTTCATTAAAAAAAACCCAACAAAGACAAAAACAATGTTGGTGTTGTCAAAACCAGCAATTGAACAGTTCTCTTACACCAGAAACAGCAGGCCAGCCTCTACATTGTTCACTCAAATCCCTCTTGTAGACCTCTCAAAGCCCGATTCAAAGCACCACATAATCAAAGCCTGCGAGGAGTTGGGATTCTTCAAGGTGGTCAACCATGGTGTTCCAATGGAATCCATTTCCCTGCTGGAATCTGAAGCCACCAAGTTCTTCGGTTTACCACTCTGCGAGAAACATGAAACAGGACAACCTGAGCCTTACGGTTACGGTAATAAAAGGATCGGTGTTCAAGGTGATGTTGGTTGGGTCGAGTATCTTCTCTTGACAACTAATCAAGACCTCAATCTCCATAGGTTCAAAACTCTCAGGTATGTCAGTTCATCAGACACACTGGGAAATGGGAGTTCCTTGTTCTTGTTATTGTATTTGATTCGAGTGTTTCGTTGTTGGTATTGTTCAGATTGGCTTTGAGTAACTACATGAAATCAGTGAAGAAAATGGCTTGTGAGATACTTGAAACAATTGCTGATGGGTTGAAGATTCAACCCAGAAATGTGTTGAGTAAGCTGTTAATGGATGAAGAGAGTGACTCCATTTTCAGGGTTAACCATTACCCACCATGCCCACATGTTCAACCTGCGAATGCTAATGGCAGCAACGGTGACGTGATTGGATTTGGTGAACACACTGACCCACAGATTATCTCAGTGCTAAGATCCAACAACACTTCTGGTCTCCAAATCTCCCTTAGAGACGGAACCTGGATTTCAGTTCCACCTGACCAGAACTCATTTTTCATCAATGTTGGTGACTCCCTACAGGTAAAAAACAGAAAAACTCGAATCCTTAGAAGAAGAACATTCTCTTCTACCACCGACACCGCTGTTCCTCGACTCGACTGTTGAGTTTTCTCTGATGGGTGATGTTTTTGCAGGTGATGACCAATGGGAGGTTTAAAAGTGTAAAGCACAGGGTGGTGACCAACAGTGAGAAATCTAGGCTTTCGATGATTTATTTTGGGGGACCACCGTTGAGCGAGAAGATAGCACCATTGCCGTCCCTGATGAGAGATGACCAGCAAAGCTTGTACAAAGAGTTTACATGGTTCGAGTACAAGAAATCTGCCCACAACTCAAGGTTGGCAGATAACAGGCTCATCCACTTTGAGAAAATTGCCGCCTCATAAGAAATAGGGTTCTAGTACAAAACATTTCCTATAGTTGGGAAACAAATTGTGTCTTCTCTTTTTTGCTACTTCTTTGTTTCTACTCACTGTAACTAGGACCTTCTCCTTCATATGGTACAAATTCCATTCCCATCTTAGGTACTGTATAAGGAGGTGTGACAATAAACACGTATATAAGATTTTATGTTAAAAGATGCGGTTTTCTTTCAGATATATAAAACTATAAATTTTAAAGAATACGAAATTAAATTACATTAAGAGATACGAATCGTTAACGAGTTATATTAAAATTTTAAAATGAAAAAAGGACTGCTGTGAATTCTTTGTAAAGTAGGCGATTCAATGCAGGAAAGCGGCGCTATTTCCAGGCGGGCCAAGTGAAAACCGTGTGCAGTGAGTGTAGGTCAAATTTGTTAAGATTAAGACATTACTAAAGGTTTTTCAACAATTAGAACTTCCACCATCTTATACGTCTCTTTTTCAATAACAATCATTTCTTTGTATTAAAATTATCATTTTTATTCGTTTTAGTACCTAAATTTTTTTTTAAATAAATTCAAAATTACACCTAACGTTTAGTTTTTATTTCGTTTTAGTATATAACCGTTAAGTTTAACATCACCACATTTTTATGGGTAAATTATATCATTCATCCCTCAACTATCTTCTCACTCCTATTTAGGTACTAAACTTTAAAATTTTTAATTTAACTACTTAACTTTCAAATTGCTCATATTTTAATCACTCTAGTTGATTTTATTAATAATTTTTGTGACCATTTTTATTATTTTATTAATATATAATTACAAATAAAAAATAAATTTGAAAGGTAGAGTGATTAAATTAGGAATAATTTGAAAGCTAGGTAATTAAATTTAAAAAGATTAAACTTTAGTGACAAAGTAGGAGTGAAAAGATGCTTGAGTGATAATGATGCAATTTACCCATTAAAAAGTATCACATGCAAATCACCCGTTAAGATACTAAAACAAAATAAAAACTAAATGTTAGGTAAGGTTTTAAAAAAATTAAAAGTTTATATACTAAAACAGACCAAAACTGATAGTTTTGAAATTAACGTGTAATTTAATCTTTTTTTAAAATTTAAGTGATACATATACATATAATATAATTATTATAGATAAAATAAATATTTTAAAAATATTATAAATATGACACCATTTTGATATATAACATAAACATAACATTTTTTTTAACCAAAATTTCTATAAAAAAGGGCGTGTTTGGTTAACAACACTTTTCCTTTATCAAACCTGTGTTTTTTTCTCCCCATTTTCAATTTTTGATTGAATCATGTTATTATCTTTTATGCTTTTAATATTTTAGTTTATGTTCTTATAATTTTAACCTTAATAATATATATAATATAGCTAAATTTTGGTCATTACCCAAATAATAATGGTTAAATTTAGGTTAAACTATGCGTTTAATACCTAAACTATCAGTTTTGGTACATTTCAGTACCTAAACTTTCAATATTTTCAAAATCATACATAATATTTAGTTTTTATTTCATTTTAGTACTCCCGTTAAAAACTTAACATTAAGTTTTGAAAAAAATTGAAAGTTTAGGTATTAAAACGGACAAAAATTGATATAGTTTATGTACTAAACACGATAAGTTTTTAACATTGAGATACTAGAATGAAATAAAAAAATAAACGTTAGATACGATTTTGAAAAAAAAATAGAAGTTTAAGAACTAAAACGACCAAAACTGATAGTTTATATACTAAATGCATAGTTTATTAAGGGGGCGTTTGGTTGGGGGAATGTAGGATTCCCATGAGAATGAAATCCACATTCTCCCGTTTGATTAGTTGGGAATCCCATTCCCGGTAATGTAAGATTACCAATAGTGGATTTTTTGGGGTATATTACCAGGAATGTCATTATATCACTTTCTTTAGGTATTGTTGGATTGCCGGTGTTTTGGACTAAAATGCCCTTAAATTTTTTTCTCGAAAATATCATTCTTCTGTCATTGAATAATAAAAATTCTATGAAGGTTAAATTACAAATTTATCCTTAAACTATTTTAGATTTACAAAAAAAAAATCTATAATTAAAATTTTATATGAAGTTAAGGGGTTCAAATAAAATTTTAACCTTTCATTAAACCTTTTTATATTTTCAATTTTTTAAAAAAAATTATATAAATTTTATGAATTTAATTTTTTTTAAAGAAAATATATAAATATTTTCCAACTTGTTAAAAAAACAAATATATAATAAATACAATTTGGTCAAATATACATTTCAATAATCTTTTATTCCTTTAACTAAACACGGTAATCTTATATTCCTGCTAAACCAACCAAACACAAAATATAACATTCACAGTAATCCTATTCCCTGGTAATCTTACATTCCCATTGGTAATATTACATTCCGTGAACCAAAAGCACCGTAAGAGTTATATTTATAGTATTATTAGTAAGTTGTAAATTTAGTTAAAAATCCAAAGCGCAGTTGGGCCTCTGCCAGTGGGCTTACGACTTGGTTTTGTACTTAACGTTCCAGGCTGCTAATGCCTTCTCTTTTCAGCTCTGAAACGCTCTCTTTGACTAAAAAAATTGCCTACTTTTTTCAATTCCATGGCTAAGAAAAGCTCTAAAGATCCCATCGACGACCCACCCACTGCTTCATCTTCCTCAGAGGAGACTTCAACCCAAACCCCACATTCCCAGAAAAACTCTACTCTCAATGTCAAGCCAATTGCCACAAAACCCATGGAAGGAACCTCAAAAGCCAAAAAACCCAGATCCAAACCCCCATCTTCACCCGTTAAGGCTGCCTCAACGAAACGTCCCAGCTCGTCCGAGCAAGAACAAACCAAGGAATTGAAACGGTCCAAGAAGAAAGCCGGCGAAGAAGGATCCGGTTCTGCTGATGCTGTTGAGGAAGAGGAGGAGGAGAAGAAGACCAGAGAAGATGAAAAGAAGCAGCTTTTCCAACGACTGTTCAGTGACGACGACGAAATTGCCATGCTGAAAGGTCTGTTAGATTTCCTGGACAAAAAAGGGGTTGACCCTTTTGCTGATACGAATGCCTTTCATGATTTTGTTAAGGATTCGCTTCATGCTGATGTTTCGAAAGCTCAGTTGATGTATAAGGTAAGGAGGTTGAGGAAGAAGTTTGAGAACAATGCTAGGAGGAGTAAAGACGGTGAGGATCGGACGTTTTCTAAGCCCCATGAACAGCAAAGCTTTGAATTGTCCAAAAGGATTTGGGGTAAAGAAGGGATCATTAGAAAAATCGAATCTTCAGCTGCAAAAGCGAAGGGGAACGGCAAGGCATTGAATGCATTGAAAGCACAGCCGGTTGCTTCAGCTGACGAGAAAGTTGATGATGGGGAGCCAATGGAGGTCGATATCAAGTTGTCTAAGAGTTCCGGTAGCTTGTTCGATAAGAAATCCGGTGTAGGTAGCTTGGAAGATGAAGTTTTGAAGCAAGGATTGGATATGGTTGGGGAAGAAAAGAGAGCAGCTTTGGAGGAGAAATGGAGGAAATTGCAGATTGCTGAGTTGCAGCTGTTTTTGGAGAGGAATGAGTTGGTAATGGAACAGGCCAAATGGATGCTGGAATTTTACAAGTCTCAAGATGCATAGTTGCTGCACTTTTTCGGTTCATTGATGGTCGTAACTCGCAAATGTGGTCAAAACGGGCACTTACAATAATGGTTTTAACTGTTTCAGACGATGTCTTTACCGCTATATGACATCGGTTGTTCCGATATGGAACCCCCTATTTAAATCACTGATAGGTTGTAGTCATCTGGAGTAGGATATGGTTTGTGTTCATTGCTCAATAAGTTTCTAGGCATATTGTCTTTAGGTTTGCTGTAACATTGCACTAACTGTATTAGTTTGCTGCTTTAATCTTAAGTTCTCAATCTAATGCTTGTATTTGCTCTATCTTAGTCTGTAGTTTCAATTTCTCATGATATACTTGTCCGGACCCGTATTCGGATACAGTATAATAATCAGAATATACGAAAAAGCACACTGCAACATAAGTGAAACATGGCCAAATTTAGAAGAAATACCTCTTAAATACCATATGTCCCCATACCTAATTAATAACATCACAACATGTTAAAGATCATCCTTAGTGGTTTTAGGTTTTACATTACTTTTGCAGGAGCAATACTATACCTACTGAGCATGAGATATGGCAGCCAGACCTGATGCAACGTTCGGAACACATGACCGACAAAAACCGGAATGGTGAGCAACCATTTCAAAATGATTATAGGAGCTGCCGTCACAAAATACGATCTTCGGAAGTACTTCGGATGTGCAGAGTTTTATTTCTGGCTCTTCTTTTTCCACAAGTCTCCGAACATTTTAATCCCAGAGCCTTTGCGTTTTCCAGTTACGAAACCATCGTCCATATCGTCACCTAAGCCTGGTGATCCGACATAACCTGCAAAACCACCACCAGCTGGAGTCTCAAACACGCCACCGAAATGCTTGTCCATCGAGCTACACCGGTTTGAAATCCTCCCGTTCATTTCCATGCCACCGGAAATAATAGTTGCAGCGGCATCCGCTGCTTTTCTCCACTGTTCAGTCTGTACCCTTAGCTGCTTCATCTCGGCTTCCAATGCTTCCTTTTGTTCTTCCACTGATTGGAGCTTTTCCTTCAATTGAGCTGCGTCTGTTTTACTTGCTGCCAGTTCCCCCCCTACTTGGCTTAACTTCAAAGTCATTTCTTCCTCCTTGGCTTTACCACTCGAAATGTTCGAGGTCGCTTCGTTGAGCTGCTTTTTCAGGTCCTCGTTTTCTTGAGTAAAAACACTAAGCTCCTTTTCTTTCTCTTCTACCTTGGATTTCAACATACTTATCTCATCATTTTTCAAAGCCAATTCTTGCAAAGATGGTTTTTCCGGTTCTGATTCTCTCGGTGGTGCAGTTGATATCTCTATTGCTTTGGTTTTTTCATCATCTTGATCAACTTCTTCGACTTCCACCTTAGGATCAAAAGCTGCTTTTTCCACCGGGACTTCGAAAACATCAGTTTCTTGTTGATTGTCTTCAGAAACTTCGCCTCTGACGGTGCAATCGGATTTCTTAGAATCTCGAGTTTTCTTGGGAGAAATCTTTTCACTAGGCTCAATATGTTCATGAGCTTTCGTCTTCGTGGTCTTATTTTCCAGCTCTTGCTGTGCTTCTTTCTTTGCAGCTTCAGCTGAAGCCAACTGGTCTTTCAGATTCTTCAGCTCTTCTTGTGCCTGCCCCAGTTGAGATTCCAAATCTGAAATGCGAGTGCCGAGCTTCTTCTGGTTCAATGGATCCGCCTGAGGAGCACCTCTAGACGAACGACGGTCACCAACCTTGGGACTACTCTGATCAGTAATCGATCGATGATGCAAAGAATCGGATTCAGAACTCGACGACCTAACCTGATGCGTGCCTCGAGGAGATTGCCTTTGTGGCATTTCTGAGCTCCTAGTCCTCATAAACAGAAATCACATACAAATCAAAAGAACAGATAAACATGAAACACAAACCAACATTATCCTACTAACAAACATGAACAAGAACACGAACAACATTCATTAGTTCATGGCAGATTAGATTAGATTCTCACCTTGATCTTGGCATTTTAGGCACTTGAACTTCAAAGAGTTTATGCTTGAAAACGAACCGCAGATTTTTTTTACAGAAATGAAAGTAGAAAGTCCTGCTGACAGTAAAAACAAACCACATATAATCAAAGCACTATCAAACAAGAATCATATCCACTAAAAATTCACACAGAAGTTCCAAAAATAGTTCACTTTCCCATTCTCCCATGCCTTTTGGTTCCTTGTATATTTCTTGGCTGGTTTTCATGCCCTTTCTGGGGCAGTGCAAAAGCCATTTTTTTCACAATGGACAATTTATTAACCATGAATAATATAAAAACACATTAGAAAATATAAAATTTCCAAGGGTACTTTTGTAATTCAAGTTGATTTATGTATGATTAAAGGGAGGCCAGGCAGGCAGGCATGCATGCGTTGCCTTTGCCTCATGTCAGGATTCCTGAGCCAAAAGTCACGCGCCACCGTGAGAGCAGTGGTGAGGTAAAGCAAATGCAAAATAAAATATTCCAGAGTATTAGGTTTGAAATGTTTTTGGCTTATTATGCAGACAATCAGACAAGGTTCTTACTCTGCAAATTAAAAGGATTTGGAAACACATCAAATTTCGAAGAATTAATTCAAACATATTATATATAAAAAAAACCCAGTTTGAGAAACTGCATTTCTCGATAAAAATAACAATAAAAAAATGAATAAACTTCAAAGCATTTTACAGCAGAAACCAGCAATTGCTAGCTGAAAAACCCAACTCTTTGGATCAGATCTTTACGTATATATATATATGGAGCTTCAAGTTGAAGTTGAACCCAGTTTTTACAAGCTATTTTCATGTCAGCATGGCAAAGAAAACAATGCATGGTCCATAACTGGATCCAAAAATCAAAACTTTACTGCCTTTTTTTTCAGAAGAGAAAGAGTGAAGAAGAAAGCTAGCTTACCTTAAAAAAGAAAATAAGAAACCTTAAGCCATGAGAGACCTGAGAAAGCTTTTAGTACTGAAATGCAAAGCAATGAAGAAGGAAAAGCAATGAAGCAGAGAGATAAAAGCTAGAACCGGACCGGTTAACGAACCAATCATACTATTGATTTACTGGTTCAATTGGTCGAATCGATTCGATCGATCAAAAAAATCGGACGACGTCATAATTATTTAAAAAATTAAATAAAAATATAAAAAAATATTTAATAAAAAATAATTTTTTTATATCAGAAGTCATATTCAAATTAAGTCATAACATATATAAGTTAAAAACATAAAATCAAGTTAAACAAAATGATTCAAATTAACTACAACATAATATTTAAGGTAAAAACATATTAAATAATAAATATAAGAGAAAATCGCCTCAGTGACCAAAAATGCCTTATAATATACGATTTTAACCAACTTTTTTTGGATTTGCCAAAATGACCAACAAAATCGCAACGCGAAATAAAAATCGCAACGCGATCCCCAGAATCGCAAATTAGTTTCCAAAATCGCAACGCGATTCTTGAAAATCGCAATGCGATAGTACAAATTCGCATTGCGATTTTCCAAAATCGCAACGCGAATATGAAAATCGCAACGCGAACACATAAATCGCAACGCGTATCCGTAAATCGCAACGTGTATCCGTAAATCGCAACGCGTATGGGTAAATCGCAATGCGTATCCGTATATCGCAACGCGTATCCGTAAATCGCAACGATAATACATAAAATCGCAACGCGTATCCGTAAATCGCAACGCGATATTTAAAGCGCCATTATAATCGCTACGCGTATTTTATTTTCAAATTACAAAAACGAATATTAAGACAAAATCCCGTAATCGCAACTCATAACCTAAAACCTAAAATCACAACTCAGTCCCATCTCCATCTCTCACTCTCTACGGCGAAGAAATCCGTCCCCATCTCCGAAGATTTCCGTCCCCATCTCCGGCGAAATCCCTCACAACCATTCACGGTCAGAAATCCCTCACAATATTCAGAAATGGAAAATCAACCTCCGAGGGTTAGTTTTTTTAATTATTTTTATTTTGAAATGTTTGCATTATTGTAGGTTTTTCATATTGAAACTGATGATAAGTTTACTGGTCATTTCAATAATAGATTAACCATTTCACTTAGATTTCATTTCGCGTTACGATTCTGTCGTTGCGATTTTCATTTCGCGTTGCTATTCTCTCGTTGCGATTTTCAAGTTAGTATTTGTCTTTGTCTTTGTTCTGTCTTTTGGTTGAAGTAATGCAATCCATTCAAGTTTCAATTTGCAGAAGAGTCGCAACGAGATAAATGAAAATCGCAATGAGAGAATGACTGTCGCAACGAGAGAAATGAAAATCGCAACGAGAGAATCGCAACGCGAAATGAAAATCGCAACGAGAGAATCGCAACGCGAAACCAAAATCGCATTGCGATTTTCATTTTCGCGTTGCGATTCTCTCGTTGCGATTTTCATTTCTCTCGTTGCGACAGTCATTCTCTCGTTGCGATTTTCATTTCAACCAAAAGACAAAACAGTGTTGCAAATTTTAGTTTCAAGAATAAACTACTACTTTTTATGTTTATTGTTTTTGGTATATCTTCACAGTGTAGTTTTTGGTATATCTAACTTGGTATGTTTATTGTTTTTGTAGAAATTTTTTTCGGCTTCATTGACATTAAGGAATAAAGTTAGCCTAGCCACTACAATTGCTTCGAAGCTTTCACCTGCTCAAAGACAATTGTTTGAGGAAACCTGCTTCGGGCCATGGCTGAGAGTACAGCATCCGGGTGGAGATGCTAATTTGACCCATTTGTGGCTTCAGACCATGACATCAAATCTACCCGACAGTATACAACGTGGTGAGGAAGAGATATGGTTTCATTTTCCACCAGCGTATACTTGTTTTGGGCGGAAGGAGTTCTGCTTAATCACTGGTCTACGATTCGGACACGATGATGTAGGCCGGTACACTCGTCATATCGCCCACCCATCATGGTTATCCCGGGTTTTTCCGGATGAGTCAATGGAGAAGCCGAACCTACACGTCGACGACCTGAAGAATTTGTTTAATAAGAAAGCTGGTTTCACTCGGATGGATGACGTCGATGTTGTCCGAGTATGCCTTCTACTACTTGTGTATGCCGGCTTTTTAGGCAGAGAGGCCAGACAACCTATTCCTCGGGAGCTAATAATATTGGTAGAGGACCTGAATGCATGGAATCTGTTTCCGTGGGGTTCGTATATATGGAAAGCTACCTGGACTAAGTTGTCTACTGCCTTTGATGACCGCAAAAGTTTGCGTGGCGATGGGTCGAAATACACTTTGTCAGGCTTTGTTTGGGCCTTTAAGGTAAGAATTTCTATATAATGTTTCTAAAATTATAATTAATTATTTAACAATTACTAATTTTGTTATTATATTGTTTGTAGATTTGGATATTCGAGGCTTTCCCCAGCATGCGTACATATGCAATAAAAACGTCAAATGATATTCCCAGGGCTATTTCCTGGAAGAGGAAAACTCTGTTGGATTGGGAAGACTTAATACCATATGCGACAATAAATAATGTAAGTTAACACAAATACTTTCATATAATATATAAACAAGTTATTAATAGTAGACGTTTAACTTTGTTTGAGTTTTTATATTTTAGGAGGCCAACATTCCATTACAAAGACTGACACCCACGGAGGAAGAGCTTGCCATTGATTGGTGGCAAGCTAGTCAGAGTTTTTTTGATGGCACGGATGATGAGCAGCATCCACTTCCTCCAATTCGAGAGCCATCACCTCACCTAGAGCCATCACCCGATCGACCCGACTATACACCTCTAGAACGAGAGCCATCACCTATCCCGTCACATCATCGAGCCTCTTCTCCACCATCACCTAATGATAGGCGACCGGCAAAGATGCCACGACTCCTATCTCCCTGTTCTCCACCTCCACCTCCACGGGATGAGTCAAGGGAGTTACGTGATGAGGTCAATGCCTTGCGTGAGGAGATCGGTACTCTACGCGATAACGATGGTGCATGGCGTGTGGAGGTGTCAACTTTACGTGGTGAGGTTGCCGCTCTACGTGAGATGATAGTATCGTTGCAGAATGAGGTTCATACTCTACGCAACGAGGTAAGTTTAAGATTTTCCATATTTAACTTAATGATAATTTACTCGTAATTTCACTTAGATTAGCCATTTCACTTAGATTGCTTAGTAAATTTATTCGGTTGCTGCCAATTCTGCTAAACTGTGTATTCTTTAACACTGTGAAATAGTATTTGTCTTTGTTTTGTCTTTTGGTTGAAAGTAAATTTGTTCGGTTGCTGCCAATTCTGCTAAACTGTGTATTCTTTAACACTGTGAAATAGTATTTGTCTTTGTTTTGTCTTTTGGTTGAAAGTAAATTTGTTCGGTTGCTGCCAATTCTGCTAAACTGTGTATTCTTTAACACTGTGAAATAGTATTTGTCTTTGTTTTGTCTTTTGGTTGAAAGTAAATTTGTTCGGTTGCTGCCAATTCTGCTAAACTGTGTATTCTTTAACACTGTGAAATAGTATTTGTCTTTGTTTTGTCTTTTGGTTGAAAGTAAATTTGTTCGGTTGCTGCCAATTCTGCTAAACTGTGTATTCTTTAACACTGTGAAATAGTATTTGTCTTTGTTTTGTCTTTTGGTTGAAAGTAAATTTGTTCGGTTGCTGCCAATTCTGCTAAACTGTGTATTCTTTAACACTGTGAAATAGTATTTGTCTTTGTTTTGTCTTTTGGTTGAAGTAATGCAATCCATTCAAGTTTCAATTTGTAGAAGAAGAAATAGTTTACTTTCGCAACACGAAACTTAAAATCGCAACGCGAAACCAAAATCGCAACGACAGAATCGCAACGCGAAACCAAAATCGCAACGACAAGATCGCAACGCGAAACCAAAATCGCATTGCGATTTTCATTTCGCGTTGCGATTCTTTCGTTGCGATTTTCATTTCGCGTTGCGATTCTGTCGTTGCGATTTTCATTTCGCGTTGCGATTTTGGTTTCGCGTTGCGATTTTGGTTTCTCGTTGCGATTATCATTTCGCGTTGCGATTTTAA